GGGGAAAAATAAAAGGAGACATATGTAATACTCTTTGTAATACTTTAAGCAATAAAACAAAATTTAAAAAAAAATAAGCCAATGGGAACGAGATAGACTTTTCACTGTCAATCTCGTCATAATTTGATTTTTAAGTCTTGTGAATGTGTTATTTACTCAAGCATTTAAAAAAAATTTAGCATCAAAAAATCAGAAATACATCAGTGAAAACAATATTTAAAAAGATAAACAATACTGTATTGACAAAATCAAAGTCTTGATTTCATAATGCTTTCCTGCAATGAATAAACTAGAAATGGAATGCTTGACCGACTGCCTCAAAAAGGAAATATTAAAGGGTCTAAGATATTTATCCATTACTCTGCTTACCCATATGTAAATAAAGATAAATGACAGCCACACTTTGCAAGCCCTCATCTTCAGATTTCCACCTTTAATGATTACCCACCCTATTTTCTTTCCCTAAGAATCATAACTGAAAAACTGTATCAGAATCTCAAAAGTAAATAGCTATCCACATGGTCTCTAAGATATCTTAAGTGATATTACACAGAAAGCTAAAAACAAACGTCCCAAAAACCATATTAGTTATCACACCTCTGCCTCAAAGGGACATATTTAAAGGTATGGCAACTACTGTATTACAAGTCGAGAATATGGAAAAGAAGCCATGAGGTATCAGCTACAGAAGGAACTAAAATGGACTGAATAGAGGTGATCTGAAAGCATTTCTCAAAATTTTGACTAGGAAGTGTCTCGTATGAAATAATTCATACAGAAATATGAAGACCTGAAAAATCTGGCCTTCAGATTACTTTGAGAGGTTCTTCCTTTACATTTATATAACAAATATTAAGAGAGTTATTTTTCTGGGACAATCAAAGCCCAAGTCTGGATTGCTTCTAATAAGGTTCCAGGGGTATAAATTGCCAGTAAAATAAAAGACAGGAAATTTATCTAGATGCCAAAGGGTTGTTAACAGTTAAAAAAGCTAAAACTCTCTCAGACTCAATAATAAAATATAGATCATTTACCCAGCTGCAGAAAAGATACCTCACTGCTGACCAGCAAATAATTCAACCTTACACTAATTCAGAGACAGATATGAACTAAAAGTCCAGGGCAATACCTCATTTACATTAAGTAGAGAATGAGTAGATTTAAAACTAAAGCTGTTTGCAAACATTTCACTTTATAATGGCAATTCAAGGAAGCTCTTTATCAACTCCTTACCTTTAAACTCAGATTTTGTGCCTGGCCTGGCACTTTCACATGCTGCACATTTGGTGGAATCTGCTTTATTCTGCACTAGGCACACTTCACAATCCCAGCTTCCCTCGGGTTTCTTGAACTTGTCTAATCCTAGGCAGCCTCCAGAAGACAGAGAGATAGGAACCGTGCTGCTACTTGAAGCAGGTACTGAACTTCCTAAAAACAATGCAGAAACACATGGAAATTCTCATTTACATTATTTCAGTATCTTAATGACATCACTAAGTCTAAATGTTCAATTTTTATTAGTGTTTCCTATTAAGACAGAGAAAATGCCAGAAATATAAACACTACACATTGTTAAAAATTCAATCTTATAAATGAATAGCTCATACTCACCTTGCTTAGTGATAAGCACCCCTTAACCCCAAGTTTGAATAGCCATGATTTAAAAAAAAGATCATGATTATAAATCAAAGCCTAGGACTAAATTTTCCTTAAAAATCTTTGTCCAATTTCTTCAAGCAGTACAGCATTAAGACATAAAATTGTAGACAATATCGTAATAGATAAAATATATAGCCACACCATATTAAATTCAAGATTTCAAAGCACAGGTCTCTGCCTTTGAAATGATCATTTTTGCATAGAAGTCTTCTATCATTCACTTTGCAATTCTACTTGACACCACCTATTATATGTTCATGGCATCTCTGTTATAAGCTAGCCTAAACAGACATTTATTAAACACTATAATTTACTTGGGCTCTGTGAACATAAAAGATGAATAAAATGTTGCTTAACTTCTAAAGGTGCTCACAGTCTTTAGGGAAAAGTAAAAACAAATGCATAGTAGCACCATCACCAAGAAGGAAAGTAATAAATGATTTAATGCAAGAGTATAAGGAAGGAGAAATTACTAAGGGGCAGGAGAAGGATCCTCAGAGGTGAGATTTAAATCTTTAAGCAGAATTAGCAAATTCTATGGGGAGAGGAGGCTGCATAGCAAGGATGGCTCAGCAAAGCACAGTGTATAAAGAAATACAAGGTGGGGCAAAAGTAGCTTGACAGCTGTTAATATGAAAAAGAATACAATAATAATAATACAAGAATAAACTATTTCGTGTACTCACAACTGTAATCCTACTTTTGCCCCACCCTGTATTGTGTTAAGAGTGAGCCATCCATTCTGGTATCCCTACTTCTCTAAATGTTCTCCAATTGTCATCACTTCTCCCAGTTATCTGATGTCTTACTGGTATGTTCTCTTCCATCATGTCAATAAAACTGCTCCCTGAGGTTCCATCATTGGTCCATTGCACTGCTCACAAGTTCTCATCTACTCTGATAACTTTAATCACCAACAAGTTTCCTGATCTTTATCTACAATTTGTGCTTCATTCCTGTGGTCTCTTCCTTAGTTGGTAGTTCCACTATCTAACTAATTAACTTGGTTAGATGGCTTTTCCTCCCTTACATATTTCTCACATCTTTTTCATTCTCTTTTCTGAACCCTTCTACTGATATTCTCATTGTTTGCTTGAATAATAGCTTTAGTATTGAGACTTATTCCCTTAAATCCATCCTTCCAAGAAGCAACCAGTGCCATGTTTTTCCTCTGGTTATTCCTTTAAAAAATTAACTTCCAAAGTTTTATTCCTGCCACTTCCTTAAATTGGCAGAGCTCCTATTTTTAGACCATCTTCTTTATTCACTCCACTCACTTTCCATCACCTATATTCCCATGACTTATTAGAAAACTATGGGCTAATGACTCTAATCTGTATTTTTAGGCCAGAGGGTCCATTATCAGTATAATGGCCTCACATATATCTGAAAGTCAACTTCAACAGCTTGAAATCATCATGTCTTCAACTACACATTATTCTACATCCCTCCCATCCTTATTTGGTTTCATTAGTACACATTACCATCATCTTTGCCTATATTACTGATGCAACCTCCCTAATCTGTCCTTTGGTCTCCAAATTTTGTCACCTTCAAGTCTATCCTTCAAATAGCCACCAAGTGATTTATCAAAATACAAATCTGACTGCATCACTCCTTTGCTTAAAATAATGGCTCATTTATAGGATGAAGTCAGCATTCTTTAATACATGAATTTCCTTTGTTTATGTGCAACAATTCACTGCCTGACTCAAAATTATATTCTCCCATCAACTCAGAATTTCAGTTCCCTGCCTGTAACAAATTGCTGGTTTAAATTTGTCTCCAATAGGGAAGGAGGGGTGTCAGGTGGGAAGAGAAAGGTAATTCAGAATGAAGATTTTGACATCTTATTCTCGGAGACATCCAGTAGGAATTAGATATATGGCTCACCCCTTATGTTCAGACAGAGATTTAGGCTAATAACTCAAGAGCTTTTCATTGCAGACACAAAACTACACATATAATTCCCAAAATACCCATGTTTTATTTAGTATTCATGTCACCATATATCTGTACCAAATAATTATATAACAATATTACAAAAACAGCAAAGAGTCATTTCCAGATGTGAATCTTTATTAACTCTTTAAAATTTAAACAGAAAAACAGAAAAAACTCAAACCTAACTTCATTTTTCTAGCTAAGTTAAAATTTTTTCACTGATGATTCAGTAACTTACTACCATTGCAAACTCTGGCAGAGAGCATACAGGTACAGGTATCGCCATTAACATTCAGCGACAGCCTTTTCATAAAGCAATATTGTCCACCCATTAATAAAGTCTTCCCTGGAAATGACCACTAGCCATCCTCACTTTTATTTAGAGAAAAAGAGACTAAGTAATATTTTATTCTGTATAGAGGTTTGAGAAAGACTGCCCCCTTCTAAGACCTTTCAGCATCTATAACAGTCAACTTTGAAATGATCCTGAAGAACAAAAATTTTATGATAAAAATGCATACAAAGATCAAAGTAGCCATTCACAGCCTATCCTAAGAAACCATACATATCTAGCCCCAAGCAAGTCATTTTAATCTCAATATAGCTTTAAAAAGTTAAGACGTATGAGAAAATTCTCATCCTGAAACACTTAAAATATTCTAGGTTGTTCTTAGTGGTTTTACAGAGAATTAAAATGTTCTACTAACATAATGAGCAAAATTATTCCAAACAGCCATTAACGTACCTGGTTTCTCAGACATACAGGACACACATTTATTGTCCTCTGGATTATTAGGAACACAGCATACTGGACACTCCCAAGACCTCTTGGGCTTTGTGAATTTATCTGCAAATCCTAAGGTACCAGTGGTCACAGTGCAGCTGGAAGATGAAGCAGCCATGGTGACAGCACTTTCTGAAGCCACTGGCAATGTAAGGACACGCTTAACACCAGTTCCAGGTTTCGGTGTTTCACAAGCTACACATTTTATCGCTTCAGGCTTATTTCGCACTAAACAGGTATCACAATCCCAAGTTCCTATTGCTGGTTTAAATTTGTCTCCAAAACCTGTCCCTGATGCAGAAAGAGTTGGTTTGACACTTTTACTTGGTGTTCCAATTCCAGTCTGTTTAGCAGTATCTCTTAGTGGTGATTTTGTCGCTTGACAGGCTATACACTTGCTGTCTGTAACTTTGTTCTGGAGTAGACAACTATCACACTGCCATGATGATCCAGCTTTTAAACTTTCCCCCAACCCCATTCCACTAGAAGAAAAGCTACTTATTGCTGGTCTTGTATAAACTACCGGGCTTGTGGTGGTAGAAATAGGAGCAAGAGAATCTGCCTTCGGTGATGTGAAACCTATAGGGTAGGGAGAATTGGAGAAAAAAAAGTTAGGGAATGTTTTCTAATCAAAACATTAACTGAAATATTATTACTGGAACACATTTACCTTATTGCTGAGTTATTATAATCCAAAATGGACTACTTAAGGTAATTTTCACCTAAGCACTATTAATTAATAGCATCTATAATAATAAAAGAATAGTATGCTAATTAGACCGGACATCCTTCCGGATGACCTTCCGGATGAAGCTGGAGCTATGAGGGAAGCCCAAGTCCTGGGTGCCAGAGGGAAATCGGTGCTGGCAGCTGGGGGAAGGAAGGCCTACTCTTGCACGAATTTCGTGCGATCAAGCCTCTAGTAAATAATAAGGGACACTTAGACCTAGTTAAACTTCTACAACAGATGTTTTATTTATAATATATCACCTTCCTCTTCTAGGGAATTTCTATTTATTATAAGTCAACAAAAACCTAATTTAAGGCTTTAATTATAATAATTAATTGATCTATACTATTGTCATCAATGTCTTATGGAGTGTCTTGCTACACTCTACATTTCTGCAACACTGACCTACATTCGTAGCCTTCTTCCCCCACCTGTCTCTCCTTTTGAGTGTTCCCCTGACTATACCCAATGACTTTAAAATCTAATTTTCAAATTTTGTCCCATCATAATCCACTACTGTGGTATCCTTTACTTTCGGTAAAAACCAGCTGAGCTGTGTAGGTATATGGTCACTGGGCAGATGTCCCTCCAAAGTACCACAGAGTGGTAAAAATTATTTTATAATGATACTAAACTCATAGAGAGCTTTAGAAAAATGAACAATTCAATGACAAATGATAAAATTCCAACAGAGATGTACCAAACCTAGAAATACAAAACTTATTAAAATCCAGTCAATCCTAATGGAGTACAAGCCCATGCTACTCAAATACAGGCCTATGCAAAGTTACCAAACACTGATTCAAACAAAATTGCTTCAAATATCTCTCCAATATAATCTCAGAGCCTATCACATTGTAAGTATACCTTTTTGTAACCTCTGAAGGTATATTTAGACAACTAAGGTATTCATGTAGAACCATGAAGGAATAATAGGAAGATTAACTCTTTGTACTACACTAAAACTGTGGTCATTAAATTGATTCACTGAAACTACACTTCACTTGTGGGAATGACGTTTCAATCCTTTCCTTTGAACCAATTAATTTTTATTTTATTCATACAAACAAACCCAGTGACCCTGTTTCTTCTGCCTTCAGCACCAAAGGAAAAGAAAATTGGGAGGGGGAAAAAGATATAGAAAGTTGTTAGAGATTTTCTATTGCTACCAAGAAATAATTCAGTCTAGGGCTATTTTTAACATAATGGCAAAATAATCCCACATATCTCAGTTACGCCCAGTGGTCAACATTTTGTTCATGATTAACTTGAGTCACTAAGGTTGTCAAAATTTTAACAGTAACCACCCCAAAGTATTACAGATTTCTATTCCTCCCACTTTTTCCAATTTTCCTAATTTCTCCTTCCAAAGAACATATGATCTCCTCCAAATTCTTGCTATTAAAAAAAAGTTAAAAGGGAGAAGGTGTGGCCCTAACCGGTTTGGCTCAGTGGATAGAGCGTCGACCTGCGGACTGAAAGGTCCCGGATTCGATTCCAGTCAAGGTTGCTGGCACATCCCCGGTTGGGGGTGTGCAGGGGGCAGCTGATCGAAATTTCTCTCTCATCGATGTTTCTAACTCTCTATCCCTCTCCCTTCCTCTCTGTAAAAAAATCAATAAAATATATTTTAAAAAAGGGGGGGAGAAGGTGTGGACATTATGAATACAAAGTATAACTTAAAGAAGATAAACTATAAGAATTTGATGCTTACCTAACTATTTGGTTAACTCTAGTACAGGCATTTTGGAGTTCTACCATAACTGTGTAAAATCATCTGAATTATTAAGACTCCTGTATGCAGTATACTCAACTATAAAATGAGAGAGCTAATTTAAAAAAAACTAATCCTTCTAAATCTTGTTGTAGAAGCCAGCTTTATTTTAAAATTTCTACTCAATCATACATGAACATCTTTGCTGGGTTTAAATTCTTTTTGAGCTACTAGGTTATCTTATAAACACCTTTATATTATTACAGTACACATCACAATCGAACTTGTGACTATACTCTTTGATTTTCAAACTAAAAACTTATTCCTATTTTGAGGATTTCTAGTCATTGCCTTCAAATTATTATATACTAGCTTGCATATCTTGTTTCAAATGAGTACTGTCTTTTATATATGTTAGAATCAGTACATTTGTTGGCTTTGATGTATATATATATATGTGTATATATATATAGTAATCATCTGAGAACATGGCGGTTTCAACACACTGGTGAGAAAGAAATGTCCAAGTATATCATCATCAAGTTTGTTTATTTACTTTCATTCAATATTGGCCTATCTCTATTAATAGGCAATTCATTTTCTCCTTTTATACTTGCCTCTTACAAATTTCATTTTAGTACAAAGTCCTTGAATTCTAGAGAAATAAGTAGAGTTTCTAAGATCTTTCCCCTAAAAGAGTAACATTTGATTACATCTATATTCAAAAGTCAATCTCCTAACAAATTAGCCATAATTCTCTTAAAGCCTAAAGTATACCACAAATGACATTAAAATAAGATCATGAGTTTGTAATTAAAAATTTAGACTATCTCAAGGGCAGCCATTATCTTACCAGGATTTTTCAGAACATCTAGGACACTTCCTTCTTTCAGGGTTTTTGCAGGTCTAAAAAGGCCCTCAGAATCTTCATTTGGCTTCTTACAGCTTCTACTGTTCATTGCAGTGATATCTTGAGCTGTAATATTTTTTTAATTATAAAAGATATTATACCTAGAAAAAACACTGGACTCAAGTTAAATGCATTAAAAAGATTTTGTAAAGACAATTTGAATCAACTTCTAAAATATCATTTTAAAAGTGTGAAATTCAAAGATAATGAAAAAATTACTTAATAATACAGGGTTAAACTGCCATTATAAGGAAGTAAAAATACTATTTCCCACACTATACATCTCTCTCCTCCAAATGGGCAAAAAATATAAACTATAATTATTACTGGTAATTCACTGGTAATCAAGAAAACCAAGTTGAAACACTGAAGAAGATATGGCGCTCGACTGGTGTGGTTCAGTGGTTGAGCGTCAACCTATGAACCAGGAGGTCAGGGTTTGTTTGATTCAGGGTACATTCCCCGGGTTGCGGTCTCTATTCCCAGTGTGAGGGTATGCAGGCGGCAGCCAATCAATTCTCTCTCGTCATTGATATTTCTCTCTCTCTTTCCCTCTCCCTTCCTCTCTGAAATCAATAAAAATACTAAAAAAAAAAAAAAAAAGGTATGGCAACTGGGGCAAGCAGCTACCCCTCATGAAATATGTAATCAATTACATAGCAATTTACACTATTGATTAAAAAATATTCAACTAAGGCAGTTATTTCATTTCTAGAAATTCACCCTATGATTGAAACTATCTTTCAGTTAACAATGAAAACCTGGATGGTAGATAAATGCTCAATTAGGGGCTGATTACATAAATTACAGAATGTTGACATGAAATGCTACACAGCCACAAAACAATCATTCTTGAAAGCATAGTTATGGGTAAAAACAGGTTAGAAAGTGCAAAAGATTTTGAATGTTTCCATCTAAAGAGTAATTGTGCTGCTAATGATGAGTGTCTTTTATTTATTGCTTTTACTTTTTATATTTTCCAAAATGAACATATCCTTTACTTAAGAAATCTATATATGATAATAGTTTTATGGTTATATTTTTAAGGGGGGCGTTTCTGTTTATATATGAAATATGTGTGGAACTGTTTCCAAATAACCTGATAGGTGTGTTTGTATGTCTAAGAGGGAAAGGTAGTAAAGAGGGAGGGGAGGAGGGACAAACAAGATTGGCCATAAAATCGAAAGGGTGAAGCTGGGTAAAGAGTATATGGGGAGCTCTAACCGGTTTAGCTCAGTGGAGAGAGCATCAGCCTGCGGACTGAAGGTCCCAGGTTCGATTCTGGTCAAGGGCATGTACCTTGGTTGCGGGCACATACCCAGTGGGAGGTGTGCAGGAGGCAGCTGATCGATGTTTCTCTCTCATCGATGTTTCTAGCTCTCTATCCCTCTCCCTTCCTCTCTGTAAAAAAATCAATAAAATATATTTTTTAAAAAAAGAGTATATGGGGAATCAGTCTACCATTCAACATTGGAGAATGTTTGAAATTTTTTATAACAAAATATAAATAACCAGGTTTTTCTTGAGTGTTGTTCAGTTAAAAAGTAGTTTCAAAACAAATCCTGCCTACCTATATATCTCACACTATAAATAAAACTTAATTCAAAATGGATCAATGATCTAAATATAAGAAAACCATAATACTCTTAGAAGAAAACCTAGGAGGTATACCTTCATGACCAGAGATTTAGCAATGGATTCTTAAATGACACCAAAAGTACAAGCAGAAAAATAATTTTAACTTCACCAAAATTAAAAACCTTTGTGCACCTAGGGACATTATCAAAAAAATGTGAAAAGACAATCCATTGAATTGGAGAAATTACTCATAACTCATGTCTAATAAGGATACAGTATCCAGACTATACAAAAATGCTTACATCTCAGCAACAGGAACAAACCAATTTTAAAATGGTTAAGACTTGACTAGACATTTCTCCCAGGAACATATGTAAAGAGCCAACAAGCATCTCAAAGAGGGTCAACACCATTAATCACTATGGGAATGCAAATGTATGGCTATAAAAAACCTTAAAAAGTAGTAAGTGTCATAAAAATGTAAAGAATTTGAACCCTCATACACTGCTAGTGGGAATGTGAAATGAGCTATCTGCTGAGAAAAACAACTTTGTGGTTTCCTCAAAAGACCATTGGCACATCAATTCCATTCCTAGATATATACCCCAACCCCAAAACATTGAAACCAGTGTTCAAACAAATACATGTACATGCATATTCACAGCAGCACTGTCTACAATAGCCAAAAGGTGGAAACAACCCTAATGTCCATCAATGGATGAACAGAAAATCAAACCAACAAAACAGAAACAAACTGAGATACAGAGAACATTTTGATGGTTACCAAACTGGGCGGGGGGAGGGAAGGTGGGTGAAAAAGGGAAGGGGATTATGTACAAATTGGTGGAAATAAAATAGTCACAGGGAGGTAAAGTATAGCAAAGGGATTATAGTCAGTAATATTGTAATAACAAAATATGAGATCATATAGGTACTAGATTTATTGGGGTGACCCCTTCATAAGTTATATAAATGTCTAAATACCAGAAACTAACATAATACTGTATGTCAACTGAAGTTGAAAAATAAATATTTTTTAAATAAACCAATAAAATAATAATCATCTGATTATTCATCATCTCCCTTCAATTAAGCCCATTTCTTTCTTTTTTAATCCTCACTTGAGGTTTTTTTTTTTTTTTTTTTTTTTTTTTTTTTTTAGAGATAGAGGAAGAGGGGTGGGGGAGAAAGAGACAGAGAGAGAATCATCCATGTGTGAAAGAAACATCAATTGGTTGCCTTCCATACGTACATACCCTGACTGGGGATAGAACTGCAACCCAGGTATGTGCCTGACTGGGAATCAAACCTGGAACCTTTTGGTGTGTGGGATAACACGCCAACCTCTTGAGCCACCTGGCCAGGGCTATGCCCATTTCTTGAGTTCAGAAATTATGTATTACTATTTGCAGAGGCCAGCATAACCCTGATACATAAAAATGCTGTGAACTGAACAGTAAACCTAAAGAAGTAATCTACTGAATTTCTTATATGACTTCATTAATATACTTAATTTGACTGAAAAGAGACAATAGATAAATTTGCTATTGTGACTATCCCCCACACAATTAAACTGTTAACATTTACATTTAGGGAGCTAAGTATCTCTGAGAATAATTACTAAAAAACATGTCAAAAGGCTGGTATTAACCCTGGCCAGTAGCTCAGTTGGTTGGAGCATTGTCCCATACACCAAAAGGTTTCAATCCCCAGCAGGGATCTATATGGGAGGCAGCCGACCGATGTTTCTCTCCACATCAATGTTTCTCTCTCTCTCTCTCTTTCTCCCTTCCCCCTATTCCACTCTAAAATCAATAAAAACATATCCTCCAGTGAGGATATTTTTTTTAATGGTTGATTGCTCGTTTGCTTTTCAGACCAAATTTCATTCCAATGAAAGCACTTATAACAGCAGTTCTCAACCTGGGGTCGAACGACCCTTTCACAGGGGTCACCTAAGACCATCGGAAAACACATATATAATTACATATTGTTTTTGTGATTAATCACTATGCTTTAATTATGTTCAATTTGCAACAATGAAATTGGGGATCACCACATCATGAGGAACTGTATTAAAGGGTCGCAGCATTAGGAAGGTTGAGAACCAATGACTTATAAGAACTGCCAAAGGAGAAAATTTTTTGAAATATTAATTTAATGCATGCAACTATTTTTATGTTAAAATTTATGAAACATTTTTACTTACCTGCACTACTTGTAATTGGTTCTAAAACAGTACTAGAGCCAGAAAGTTCTACTGTTTTTGCAACAGGCACACTAAATGTAAATCCAATCTGCAAATAAAAAAGTTATCCTTTCAAATATAGAGCTTCTTTAAATTCCAAGTGAAAAAAATGTTGAATTTCACTTATTCTAAGATTCACAGTTTATCATATTTTATCATCTTTAAAATTTGAATGCTTCTTGTAATAAATTGAGGGTCACAGTTTAACAGCAGCATTTTTAATCTCTAAGGCAATTTTTCTTTCAAAGCAGTATATAAATAATGTGTTCCTAATGCCCAAATCTGGGTCTCTAAATGTCATTTTCTAATAAAAAGTTTGAAACTTTCTGGACAACAGACAGATTTCAGGCACGCAGCAGGGGAACTACAAATGATCTGGAACATCCAATTGACAGAAAACAAGGACAGAGTAAAAAACAGAGAGCAACAGGTCAAAATAATACACGTGCCAAATAAGAGTGGGGCAACTTAAATGCTGAACTTATTATTCTTACCCAAAATACTGATTTCTATTACAAAAAAAACACAAATATATCTTATGAAACAAAAATCCAAAACTTATCTAGGTTAAAGACAATTCAAGGAACATTAACTAAATGCACTATGATTTAATTGATTAGTCCCTAATCTTAATTGTATCTAGGGCCAAGAGAAAACAAAGCAACAATAAGAGGACAATCTGGAGCCGATGGGGGAATCTGAAAATGAACTGTTATTATTATACGACGTTAAATTTTGTGGGCATAACTGTACTGTGAATATGCAAAGAAATGTTCTTTTACTTAGGGGATACATGTAAAGTATTAAGGTAATTAAGAAGTCTGCATCTTAACTTTCAAATGGTACATGAGAAAACGCACATGCTTATGTGTGTATGTGTATATGCACACAGTGAAAAATACACGTGTTCACTCATTCAAGCTTTCTGTTGTAATTGTTTTTAACTTGGAAGAAAAATAATGGTTATTTCTTACCACTGATGGCATCTTAGATTTGATAAAAATACAGCATGCCTTTGAAATCAATAAATATGAAATATTCCTTGGTTGCTACTTACAGATGATGGAGGTAGTACATCTGCCTCTGTAGATTTTACAATTGGAGATGAAAATCTAAACATAGGACTGTTTGTGTTGTTTGGAGAGGTCATTTGTACCTGGTTTTCCGAATCATTAAAAAAAAAAAAAAATACATAAAGAGCTTTTTAGGAAAAGAAACTGACAATAAGACAGACCTTAAGCAAGTTACTTATTCCAAAGAAGCCAAATGCCCCCTTTAGATTAAAAACAAACACTTTTTAACTTCTGAAAAATACTTAAAAGTAACTGCTATAAAATTTGGCTTCCTGTTAGAAGAGGAGTATACACTATTTTAGACATGGATATTTGTCTAAAGAAAAATAACATTCATAAGCTATGTTCAGAAAAATTAAAAGCCAAAACAAAAGCATAAAAATTTCAGGAACAGATTAAAGACATTAATCCTACTTGAAAAATAAAAAACATAAATCTATTCTTATACACAAAGTATCTTAATTGCAAACATTGGGAACAATATCTCTTTAATGCATTGTATAAGAATTGAAGAACACTCCCATTATAACAAATCCCATTATAATGTACACTTTTTTTAAAAAGCAAGACATCATTTTCATCTTCTTACTCTGAGTTACTGATTTCTATAGTGAAAATTAATTACAACTTTAAACTGATACTAGATTTTTTAAAATAAACAGTAAGAAAAATAAAAAATCATCTCTATTTGTACAATGGTTTTATACCTTATTTGTTAATGACTGTGCAGGACTAATTGGTGATAGAGAAGTTGTAATCACCGAGGAACTAAAATTGAAGGTAGGCAGTGAAGAACTGGTGATGGGTAGAGAGATATTCGGTAATACTGGTACCTCCATTTCCTAAAACACAGTATGTTTTAAAATTATATAGTTCATCTTTCATGTCATTCTTTTATCTGTTGTTTTCAGGTAGAATTTATATAATTACAGGCAACTTTAGAATAAAAAGAAGGTAGCACCACACAATGTTAACAATGTGAGCTCTTAAATCAAATAAACTAAACAAGACTTGAATCCCTGCCACAAGCCAGCCATGTGACTCTGTGAACCTAACTGCCCTCAATACCAATTTCCTAAATGGTCATAATTAGGAAAAAATAATATACCATACTTGTGATATTAACATGAAACACAAAGTTATACATTGTTCTGGCATGTAAAGCAAGCATTTAATAAATGTCAGTACTAATAACTTTGGTGAACTGCCTTGGTTTTTATCCCAATATAGCAAAGGCCACCCCAAGTCTCAAATGACTCACATTTACAACAGACAAAAAAGAATTCCCCTTCTGCTAATGGTGGAGTAGTTCATATCTCACCAATGCTCTGACAGATAACAATTATAAACTTTGGACAAATAAAAAACAGCTATCTAAAAACACTGGAGAGCAACCACAAACAAGCAGAAACCGGAGGGGATAAGACACTTGGAAGAAGAGCACTGAGTGAGCTTCTTTTGTTTTCTTTATGAGTTGGTGCCAATGGATAGTTGAAATTCAGAAAGAAAACTGCAAAGGTGTTGGCTGAGAAATCAGAGGACAGAGAGGTGACCACAGCAGTTAGAAAATGAAGGGAGATACAGTATTGAAGAACCACAGAAGGGTTCCCCAAGTCAGCATATAAACTGTCCAATTCTCTGGCAGAACTGTAAACTAAATGTCTGTAAGGCAGACCAGACATCAAGTAGCCAACTAAGACTAAAGAGTTTCAGCTGTTGCCCAGCACAGAGGAGGGAGTTCACTGCCAACTAAAACAACCTGAATACTTCAAATAGATGAGGTTCAGTATACATAAATCACAACTCAGTAAAAAAAGTCAAGCCCTACCACCCAAAAAAGGAAAATAATGACCCTTTTAGGGAAAAGAAAACCAAGAGAATCTGTTGCCATAAAATCTGCTCTACAGGTTCTTCAGGATGAATGGAAATGATACTAAATGGAAACTCAGATTTCTGGAAGAAATGGAAAACAAGGGAGCAAACATTTTTTTAAAATCCGCATTTTTTCTCTTAATTTCTTTAACTGTGTAAGGCAAAAATTATATATGATAGATTTCTAGACTATTTATCTAAATGTAATACAAATAACAATTACAGCAATAAAATGCCAAGGAAGAGGGGTGGTAAATCAAACTATAAAGTTGCAAGATTCTTAAATTTTCACAGAATGTGGTACAAAATTAACACAAAGTGGAATGTAAGAAGAACATATATCATAATCCCAAGAGGAACCACAAGTAACATAAAGAGACAGAGATAAAAAGCCAACAAGTAATTAAATTGGAATTCTAACATTCAATTAACCCAAAAGAAGGCAGCTTTCGAAAAGAACAAGAAAAACTAAGGCAAAAATAAACAAGTGGGAGTACATCAAAATAAACAGCTTCTGCACAGCAAAAGAAACCATCAACAAAATGAAAAGGAAGCCCACTGCATAGGAGAACATATTTGGAAATGATACATCTCATAAAGGGTTATTATCCAAAATATATAAGGAACTCATAAAACTTAACACTTCTCCAAAGGGGGCAGACATATAGATAGATGGCCAAGAGACACGAAAAAATGCTCAAAGTCACTAATCATCTGAGATGCAAATCTAAACAACAATGAGGTACCATCTCATACCCGTCAGGATGGCTACCATCAACAAATCAACAAATGACAAGTGCTGGGGGGGATGTGGAGAAAAGGGAACCCTAGTACACTAGCTGGTGGGAATGCAGAGTGCTGCAGCCATTATGCAAAACAGTATGGCATCTCCTCAAAAAATTAATTATGGAACTGCCATTTGACCCAGTGAACCCATTTCTAGGAATATATCCTAAGAAACCAGAAACAGCAATCAGAAAAAAAAATGTATGCGCCCCTATGTTCATAGCAGTGCAATTTTTAATAGCTAAGATCTGGAAATGGCCCAAGCCCCCATCAGTAGACGAGTGGATAAAAAACCTTTGGTATATCTACACCATGGAATGCAGTAGTAAAAAATAGGGATCTCTTACCCTTTGAGACAGCATGGAGAGACCTGGAGAATATTATGCTAAGCGAAATAAGCCAATCAGAGAAAGACAAGTATCACATGATCGCACTCATATGTGGAATCTAATGAACAAAACAAACTGTTGAACAAAATAGATCCAGAGACATAGAAATATTGAATAGACGGAAGGCGGGGGAGGGTGGATGGGTGGGACAAATCAACCAAAGAACTTGTATGCATATATGCATAACCCACTGGACACAGACAATAGGGAGGTGAAGGTCTGGGGGGGGATAAAAATAAAGATTTTTTTAAAAAATAAATTTAAAAAAAAATTCATATAAGAACTATTAATATCTTCCAGGAGATAACATAGGAGAATTTCTTTGAAGCCTAAGGAGAAGCAAAGGTTCATTGGGTACAAAGAACAGTATAAACAATGGGGGGAAATTTAACAAATTCAGAATTCTTGTAAGATATGTATCATTCAAAGTATTTGGTTTCAGAATTCATAAAGAGTTCCTACAACTCAATAAGACAACCCAATTTTAAAAGGGCAAAAGATCTAAACCGAGACCTCAGAAAGGACAATAATACTAATGTCCAATAAGGGCATAAACAAGAATACAACATGAGTCATCAGGGAAATGCAAATTCAAATTACAATGATATACCACACCATACACAAAGCAGAATGGCTACAGTTTGAAAAATGACAATCAACTACTGGTAAGGATGCACAGTAACAGAAATGCCCACACACTGTTGGTAGGAATATAAAATGTTACTCCCACCTCCACTTCTAAGTATCTACCCTAAGAAAAATAAACATGTCTACAAAAAAGGTATAAAAATGTTCACATCAGCTTATTCGTAACAGTCAGACAAAAATAAACACACACTGAGTAACTGTATTGATGTGAAGTTTTAGAACAAGGAAAACCAACATATAGTGGAAAAAATGAGAATAGTGATTGCTCCAGGGGTAGGAGGCAGCGAGTATTATCTGGGAAGGAGCATGAGTAAACTTTCTGGAGGACTGGAAATGTTCAACACCTACTTCGACAGGGGTTTGGGTTACACAGATGTAAACATTTGTCAAATTATTAAATGGTACACACCTAACAATTTTACATTTTACTACATGTAAACTCTTGCTAAATTAAAAAGCAATATTTTAGTTCCTGCAATGTATGCTGAAGTATTTAGAAGTATACTGATTTAAGTCTTAAACTTACTTTGAAATACATCCCAAAAATAAGATGAATATTTATTTGTTAAAGAAAATATTAGAACCTAAGTGCTAAGAATGTGTTCATTGCACAATTCTTTGGACATTCTTCTGTTTGAAATTTATAATCAACTGTGGAGGAGGGGACGAAAGGAAACAAAAGACTCATTTACGGATTTCTGTAGGGATGTTTCTTCCCATCGCCAACCTCAGCCTTATTTTCTTCCCTTTCCAGCGGTTCTCAACCTGTGGGTCGCGACCCCTTTGGGGGTCGAATGACCCTTTCACAGGGGTTGCCTAAGACCATCGGAAAACACATATATAATTACATGTTGTTTTTGTGATTAATCACTATGCTTTAATTATGTTCAATTTGTAACAATGAAATTGGGAGTCACCACAACATGAGGAACTGTATTAAAGGGTTGCAGCATTAGGAAGGTTGAGAACCACTGCTTTAGACCCTTTACAACACCTGGACACATCAACTGAGTAACTTAAATCTCCTGTCAACTCATTAAGCCACATACTTACTAGTTCTTTATATTACTGACCTTGAACCAATTTTACTTTATTTATTTTGAAGATTTTTAAAACTGCTTTTTAGAGAGAGAGAGGGAGAAACATCAATGGGAGAGCAGAACATGAATCGGCTGCCTCCTGCAGAGGATTGAGCCCATAACCTGGCATGTGCCCTTGACTGGGAATCCAAGCAGCAATCTTTCAGTGCATGGGAGGATGCCCAACCAACTGAACCATACCAGCCAGGGTGACCTTGAACCAATTTTAAATTTGATTTGTAGTCACCAAAATTTTGACTTGATTGATCAGAAGTAGTTTCCACAAATCTGGGAGAAAGTCAAAAATTATAACTGGATGCATAGAGATGCCTCAAGTTAAACACAACCATCATCAAATCTGACTTACTATCCTATATAATAAAAGGCTAATATGCAAATTGTCCCCTCAACTGGGAGTTCGACCGGGAGTTCAACCAGGGGGCGGGCTGGCCGGCGGGACCCCACCCTTGCACAAATTTCGTGCATCGGGCCTCAGAGTCTCAGCTGGCCCTCACAACCCCACTTTGTCCGGAAGGTCATCCAGACAGTCATCCAGAAGGTCATTCTGCTGTTTGGTATAATTAGCATATTAGCTCTTTATTATATAGGATTATATAGGATACACACACACATGTATGCATTATCTTTATAATACCTTTACATAGGTTACCTCATGTGAGGTAGAGGCCTATTATTGTAGATGCGGAAACTGAGGCACGGAGATATATGGCCTAATATACAGCTATGAAATGGCAGACATCCTATAGACACAAGCCAAATATATTTCTTCTTCTTATCCCTATTTTAAAGCGAAAGAAGCTGATGCACAAGAAGTTAATTTGATCAAAGTCATTCATACCAGTAAGGGGCACAACTGTATCTGACATGACAATATCAAGCAATTAAATGTCCCCAAATGCAATTTTTACTTATCTATTAAAAACACACACATACACAGGATACGCAGAAAATTTGAGGAAGCCACCATTAGTACCTCTCTCCTCAGAAATGTGGAGACTGTAACTCCAATGTGGAACAGAGCTCAGGGCAAGAGGAGTTGGGTGAGGCATCCTGGGATGTGAAATTGGCAGTTGGCAGTTGGCCGGAATGAAGAGAGGCAGCCCAGATCAGGGAGAAGGTGATAAAGAGGTCTGGGGAGTTAGATTTTCATAAAGTTTCTAACAGTTAATATATCAGGTAGTAAGGGCTAAAGTAAAGAAATTAATTTTAACTCCCCCAAAATGTCTCAATACAGCAAAGTCACACTAAACATAAACCTACAACACAACTAAATTAAACTGCAAGTATCAACCTGAGATTTCGGCTGAATATCTTAGGAACGATATCTTTAGAAGTTCACACTGAAGGGAAATAAGCAAAATTCACAAATCTGTCATTTGATAAACAACAAACCAAACTAATAATTGTTCTCATTCAGGAAGAAACTTTTAAAAGCTAAGGCCACAAATTTTACTGAGAAATATAAAAACCTGCCTAAAAAACAAATTCATGCTATATTAATCAGATATTAATTTCCTTATGGATATAAGGTAAGACATCCCATTTCTTAAATGTAATTAAGTGCTTTAATGACAAAAGAAAACTGGTTTGCTAAGAAAATACTACATTTTATACACTATATAATTAATGGCATTTACGGCTTTTTCTTTCTTTTTTTTTTTAAATATATTTTATTTATTTTTTACAGAGAGGAAGGGAGAAGGATAGAGAGTTAGAAACATCGATGAGAGAGAAACATCGATTAGCTGCCTCCTGCACACCCGCTGCTGGGGATGTGCCCACAACCAAGGTACATGCCCTTGACCAGAATCGAACCTGGGACCCTTCAGTCCACAGGCTGATGCTCTATCCACTGAGCCAAACCAGCCAGGGCATGGCCTTTTCTTTAAATAGTAGAATACATTAATACATTCCCTCCCTCTACAACACTCCAGCAGAGCAACAAGTAGACTCTAAGGGAAAAAACAGAGCCCCAACACCAGTAACTGAACCAAGGCCCCTGGCACAGATATCACAAAACAGATTATATATGGCAGAAAGTCCAAACTGTCAAAAAGGTCATGATTCTGGTGAGCTGTACCTCTGGAGAGAGGCGCAAGTACAAAACTACTAAAAAGGAAAAGGGGAGATAAGGAAAAAATGAAAAAGATTTCCCAGGCTTTGCAATAGACATCAAGAAAATTAATACTATAGTACATACAACAATTTCAATCAAAGCATGATTTCACAGTCAACAGAAACTGTTAGAGAATATCGCATGTTTAAAAACCTAAATATATACTCCTGAAAAAGTCATGAATCAATGAGAAAGTCACAAATGAAATTTTAATTAAAAAACAAATGACTTAATAAAATTTAAAAAAAGTAATAAACTTCCTGAGGTAGGAAAGAAAACAAGATTATATTAATAAATATGACTTAAGAACCTAACAAATAATAAAATTAGATAAAATAAAAAATAAGTAAAAATAAAAACAAATGACAAATGAAAGCACTATGTATCAAAACTTAAATGATCCAGCTAGGCTGAAATTCATTCATAAAAAGACTGCCCTAAGCGGTTTGGCTCAGTGGATAGAGCGACGGCCTGTGGACTGAAGGGTCCCAGGTTCGATTCCAGTCAAGGGCATGTACCTTGGTTGAGGGCACATCCCCAGTAGGGGGTATGCAGGAGGCAGCTGATCGATGTTTCTCTCTCATCGATGTTTCTAACTCTCTATTCCTCACCCTTCCTCTCTGTAAAAAAATCAATAAAATATATTTAAAAAAAAAAGACTGAAATGAGACCTGCATTCAACTCAAAGCAAGTAGAAAACAAATAGAGCAACCTATAGAAAAAAAAAATTTAATCAATCTTCAATCAGTCCCTCTTTTTTAAACTTTTATGTTCAGAATATATAAGGAACTCTTCCTAATAAAAGAAATAACCCAACAGAAAAAAAAAAAATAAAGAGAAAATCCAAATGGCCAAGAAATTCACAAAAAGGTATCTCTCCTCCTCTAGTAAACAACAAAATGCAGACTAAAACACCAATGGCATGCCACTTCACAGCCATCACATTGGTAAAAATTTTTAAATCAACAAAATCAAGTGCTAATAAGGGTAAAGAAAAAGCAGATCTACCTACTGTCATGTAGAATGTTAAATTATAAAACTACTTTGAAGAGCAATGAGGCAACATCTAAGATATTTGAAGATGTGTATCATCCCTTATAATCCAACAATTCCATTCCTAGAAAAACAGCCTAAAGCAAATACTGCAGGTGTGCCAAGGGAGAAGTGCATAAATATTCCCCTTAGCATGTCTTAGGAATCAACACAAATGTATCCTGCAGAATGAATTCTGGTAAATATTCACACTGGATAAACATATACTATAGTGAAATTAAATAACCTAGAGTTACCTTTCACAACACTGATAAAGTTCACAAATAATATGAAAAAGGCAAGTGAGATGAATACAAACCATATTAATCTATTTATATGTTTCTTTTTTTTTAAAATAACCTTTTTTTAAAAAATATATTTTATTGATTTTTTACAGAGAGGAAGGGAGAGGGATAGAGAGTTAGAAACATCTATGAGAGAGAAACATCGATCAGCTGCCTCCTGCACACCCCCTACTGGGGCTGTGCCCACAACCAAGGTACATGCCCTTGACCGGAATCGAACCTGGGACCCTTCAGTCCACAGACCGATGCTCTATCCACTGAGCAAAACCGGTTAGGGCCATTTATATAAGTTTCAAAAACTGGCAAAACCTAACCTATAATAATAAAAGCATAATATGCTAATTAGACCGATGTCCTTCCAGACGACCTTCCAGATAAAGTTGGGGTTGCAAGGGCCGAGCCCCTTGCACAAAATTCGTGCACAGGTAGGGTCCCTAGGCCTGGCTGGCGATCAGGGCTGATCAGTGCCTTCCAGCTGCCGGATGGGCCTCCCTTCGTTCCACGCTGCCCCCTGGTGGTCAGTGCACGTCATAGCGAGCAATTGAACTCCCGAGGGGACACTTTGCATATTAGCCTTTTATATATATAGAATATTCTAAGAGTCAAATAATTTCAATTGTAATTCTTTTACTAAAAGAATTATGGCTTTTTGCCTGGCTGGTGTAGCTCAGTGGTTGAGTGTCGGCCCGTGAACCAAGAGGTCTCTGGTTGATTGCCAGTCAGGGTACATGCCCAGGTTGTCCACTCAATCCCCAATAGGGGGCGTGCAGGAGGCAGCCGATTGATGTCTCTCTTTCTCATTGATGTTTCTATCTATTCCCCTCCCTTCCTCTCTCTAAAAATCAATGAAAACATATTTTTTTTTAAAAGAATTAAGGCTTTTTAATGACACTCATGAAATTTTTAGTACTATGTTAGGTTTTCTGTGTTGTCACAGTGAAGGTGGTTTAAAAAGTCTACTAGTATTAAACACACACACACACACACACACACACACACACACACACACACACTTTGAAGGAACTGTTCCAATGACAGGTTATTTTTGTGTTGAGTTTCCTTAAACCCCACCCCTCCAGATCTCCTCTCACCACCACAATGCACAAAGCTTTCAATAAACATCAAGAGTATTAAGTATATAACCCTACCTCCCCCTCTGCAGGTTTAGTTGCCACAAAACGTGTTCTTTCTCGTCTCATCTTGCCTCCTCCACCACCTACTCCAGAAGATACACCATTGGCTGCAGACATACTGAAATTTGGGTAAGAAAAACCACTAAGCAAAAAAAAAAAAAAAAAAAAAAAAAAAAAGAAAAAAAGAAAGAAAAAAAAAAGAAAATCAAAACAAATGATATATTACGCAGGTCCATAACTTGGTAACTAATCGAATAACCCAAAAATTAGAACTGCTAACAAATAATAAATGTACAGCTGAATTTTATTTTTAAAAGCTGACGAATACTTTGTGCATAAAGTTTCTATTTTTAACCTGTCTTAATTTTCCAAAAGGCACATAAAAATCACATACAGAACTAAAAATTTACATACAAAGAAGTTTTGCTATAAAGATAACATTACCTTTCTTGTTCTCTATTTTGTCCTGGTGTCATACTTTTTTCATATCCAGTCTAGAAAAAAGTGAAACCATATTTAAACGCTGGCATATTTAAATTTCTTTTTATTTTATTTTTTTCCATCATGCTCTTTTATTTTCTCTCTCCATACCCTCTTCAACCTCCACCACCCCTGCCACCCGCAATCACAACACTGTTGTCCCAGTCAGTGTTCTCTTTTTTGGTCAATCCCTCCACCATCCCTAGCCTCACCCCTATCCCCATAATTTTCTTAATGCCATCCTATCTGTGAATTTTAGTATTTTAAATCAGGAATTTGAGGTTGTTTAGTTAATGAATCCCAAAATTTTCAACTTAGAGCCAGCCTTCTGAATTGTAACTAAGCATTAGTGTGATTATATATGCACATAAAATGTCACCGAGTACAAATGTACTTTAAACAAAATGGTACTATACAAAGTTAATATACTCACCAACCACAACATTACATTTACTTATCTCTTGTTATGACATATTAAATGTGCAAATTCATAAGGATAGTCCTTTTGAAATGATTCTCAGAATCTTACCTCTTCCCAGAAGCACATAAAATTATAACTAAATTATAAAATAACCAATCTAGATAACCATCTGAAGACTAGACTAAGACAGGGATGTCCACTTTCACTACTCTTATTCAAATAGTACTAGAAGTCCCAGCCACAACAATCAGATAAGAAGAAATAAAAGGCATCCAAATTGGAAAGTAAAACTGTCATTATTTGCAGGTGACATGATACTTCAGAGAACTCTAAAGATTCCACCAAAAAATTACTAGAACTGATAAACTAAGAAATTATAATCCCATTTACAACTGCATCAAAAAAATAAAATATTTAGGAAATTTAACCAAAGAGATAAAAGACCTGTACTCAAAAAATTATTTCATTAAAGAAATTGAAGATACAAATAAATAGATGCATATGCCATGCTCATGGAGAGGAAGAATTAACATTGTCAGAATATTCATACTACCCAAAGCAATCTAAGCTATCTATCAAAATACCAATGGCGTTTTTGCACAAAACTAGAATAATAAAAGACTCCAAAGGCCACAGTAATCTTAAGGAAAAAAGAACAAAGTTGGAGTTATCCTGCCTCCCGATATCAATATATTTACAAGGCTACTCTAATCAAAACAGCATGGTACCTATTGACATAAAAACAGATACATAGATCAATGGAAAGAAATAGAGAAATCTATGCCTATATGGACAATTAATATATGATAAAGAAGGCAAGAACACAATGAGGTAAAGACAGTATTCATTAAACGGTGTTGGGAAAGTCGGATAGATACATGCAAACAAAATAAATAAATAAAACTAGATCAGCTTCTTAAACCATACATAAGAATAAACTCAAAATCGATTAAAAACTTAAATGTAAAAAAACAGACAGTAACATCTTTGACATTTCTCTTAGCAATATTTTTTCTGACATAGTTCCTCAGGAAAGGGAAACAAAGAACAAAAAACAAATGGAACTCTATCAAACTAAAAAGTTTTTGCACAGAAGAGGAAACTATCAACAAAACAAAAAGACAACCTACTAAATGCAAAAAGATTAATATCCAAAATTAATAAAGAACTCATACATTCAACACCAAAAAAAAACCAAACAACCCAATTAAAAACTGGGCAGAAGACCTGAATAGACACTTCTCCAAAGAGGACATATAAGACAGCCAATAGACATGAAAAGATGCTCACCATCACTAATCATCAGAAAAATGCAAATTAAAACCACAATGGATGTCTATCATCATTAACTCAAGAAACAAGTGCTGGCCAGGCAGTGGAGAAAAGGGAACCCTCGTGCCATTAGTGGAAATGCAGACTGGTAAAGCCACTATGGAAAACAGTATAGAGGGTCCTCGAAAAATTAAAAGTGGAACTGCCTTATGACCCAGTGATTCCACTTCTAAGTATATATCTGAAGAAACCCCAAATGCTAATTTGAAAGGATACATGTACTTCTTGGGTAATGCAGCATTACTTACAATACCCAAGATATGGAAGCAACCAAGTGCCCATCAATGGATAAGTAGATAAAATTGTGATACATATATATAATGGAATATTAATTGGGACATAAAAAAAGAATGTAATCTTACCACTTGCTACAGCATGGATGAACCTAGTGGGTATCATGCTAAGTGAAATATGTCAGAGAAAGACAAATACCATATAATTTTATTTATATGTGAAATCTAAAAAATAAACAAATAAAATAGAAACAGACTCATAGATACAGAGCATGCTGATGGTTGCCAGAGGAGAGGGTGGTTTGGGGACTGGATGAAAAAGGTGAAGGGATTAAGAAGTATGAATTAGTAGTTACAAAACAGTTATGAGGATGTAAAGTACAGCATAGGGAATATAGTCAATATTAAATAACTATGTATGGTGCCGGAGGGAGGGGGGACCTGAAATATCAGGGGGATTACTTTGTAAAGTACATAATGGTCTAACCACGACACTGTACACCTGAAACTAAAACAAAATAACATGAATGTAAACTGTAATTAAAAAACTTGAAAGTACTTAGAAAATGCATGCCAAAGTACTCAGAGATAAACAGATGTGATGTCTAAAATTTATTTTCAGGTAGTCCAACAAACACAAAGCACACATATAAAGCAAATCTGGCAAAATTATTTAATCTAAAGCATTAGTACATACTAGTATTTACTAATAAACACTAACTTGGGATTTGATTATGGTGCCAGCCATTTTAAAGTGTCCCAATTCATAATCATCACTAATTCACAAACTGTAGGTATGATCTGCAATGATAGAGTACTTATATGTCACATTATTTATTTTTTTTCTTTAATATTTTTATTTATTTCAGAGGAAGGAAGAGTGAGAGAGATAGAAACATCAATGATAAGAGAGAATCATTGATCAGCTGCTTCCTGCACGCCCCCCACTAGGGATTGAGCCTGCAACCAGGGCACGTGCCCTGACTGGAATCAAACCCAGGCCCCCTCAGTCCGCAGGCCGATGCCCTATCCACTGAACCAAACCAGCCAGGGCACATTATTTATTCTTATTCAATTTAAGCAATATTCAAAGACTAGTGAAAATAAACACATACTCACACTGTGTTTTTTATCTATTCTTTGATTAGTCTTCTTTAATTCACCAGATGGGGTCAGAGATGGTTTAAAATAAGCAGTTCGATTTGCTGCTATGGATACTGGCTTTGGGGTCATGAGCCTCTGAACTGGGGGATACTGACAGACCACCTTATAGGTAAAAAGAAATCAAAGACAAACCTTCATTTTCATACATTATCAGTGATGCATAGCAAAAAAATAATTTGACAATAGCTAATGTGACCTAGAGACTATGAGTACTTCTCAGAGAAATACCTAGTAAATGCAAACAAATACTAAGAAAACTGATAGTAAGAGAACCAAAGGTGTGTGTATGTCTCTATTTATAAATATATATAAAATTCCAAAATAATTTCAGACTAATTTATTCCAGACTTAATGACTGTTCACACATGTACACACACAAAATAGTAACTATATTCAAAACTGTTTTACAAATCTAAGGTTTTATAGGATGAATTTCAAATATATAAACTAAAGTTGATTTTGCCACATTTCCCCCCAAATTACTATCTAAATTTTCTTCAGCTACAGATATTTTTAAATCAGCAATGAAAATATTTTAATTGATAAAAATGTGAGCAAATCTCTGTCCAAGTTAACTTTACTCTATTGTTTTTAAAAACCAAATGAAATTCTTACAATTTAAGTCTAATTAGTAAAGCATTCCAAATCTTAAAATGAACTGGCTTTATTGTCTAATAACACAAGTATTTTTGTCAACAATCTTTTGCTACACTGAACACAGTAAAAATTATGTTGGTTTAAGATGACTATAAAGTCTAAAGCAGCGGTTCTCAACCTGTGGGTCGCGACCCCTTTGGGGGTCGAACGACCCTTTCACAGGGGTCGCCTAAGACCATCGGAAAACACATACATAATTACATATTGTTTTTGTGATTAATCACTATGCTTTAATTATCTCCAATTTGTAACAATGAAATTGGGGGTCACCACAACATGAGGAACTGTATTAAAGGGTCGCGGCATTAGAAAGGTTGAGAACCACTGGTCTAGAGCATCGACTCTGTCCAAAGATTGTAATACTATAAATACAGTCCTTTCACTCAACAGCAGCTGTGAACAGCACTGAATTCCTAGGCAAAGCTTCTGTATGGTTACTACTTCTTCCCTAAATCCTCATCACAAGTGTGATCCTGCAACTCTGATTACATCTGTGAAAGATGAACTACAATATTGTATCTGTCCATTATAATTCTTAACAGCCATTAATAAGATTTTATTGGCATTACACACAACCATTAATAAAAATGTTTATTAATGAAAACTTCTATTATGGCATAAGTTTTTAAACTTACTTCTTTTTATGCAATCTGACATAAAATAGGAATCTGAGAAAAGCAGCTAATGGATTAATCCCACCACAGCAAGTAATAATGGATTCCCTCTCTTGTCTGAGGAAAAAACTCAATTTTAGCTTTCTATTCTGCATTAGAATTTTAGTAAAAATAATTATATTTTACCAGTATCTCAAATACAGTCCCCAAATTAATTCAGAAAATTATGACAATTTTAATCAATTACTTCTGAGGGAACATAGTGTTGTAGTAAATGCTTCTATAAGTAAGGATCTAGGAATCTGCTTCCCCTGAAGTTAACTAGTCACAAATATAACTAACAAAATTTACATCTTTTAAACACTCTCAAGCATTTTATTTTTTCCACAGTAATCTCCAAAACTAATTTTAACAAAAAAGAATATACTAAAAAGGGCTCTCAATATATAAGCTATATCATAATGTTTTACAGCGGTTCTCAACCTGAGGGTCGAGACCCCTTTGGCGGTCGAACGACCCTTTCACAGAGGTCACCTAAGACCATCCTGCATATCAGATATTTACATTACGATTCATAACAGTAGTAACATTACAGTTATGAAGTAGCAACGAAAACAATTTTATGGTTGGGTCACAACATGAGGAACTGTATTTAAAGGGCCAGAAGGTTGAGAACCACTGTTTTAATACCTCTGATATCTTGAAGAGTATTTTTGGCTGATAAAAAGATATGCCAATCTGAAATTCTATTACACACAATAGCCTTGATATAATGTCTGGTGATAAGGAAAGTTTGCAAAGATAACTATGTTCAGTGAGCACTTCAGTTCATTGAATTTATAATTGCTAAACACTTCAAGCTCTGTTCACTCCTATTTTTATTTATCAAAATGTAAAAGTTACTCATAAAGACTGCCAAGATGCTGAAGATGGAAATGCCAAATAACCAAAATTTAATGACTGAGCACATACTACATAAAAGATTGTGCTAAGTCCCCCACAAAAGGCAAAAATGTGCAATATCTTAAAATCTTATTTTTCAAACACGTTTCCCATGAATATCAACTAAATTTGTCTATTTGATAACTAAAAACTACACAAAACAAAACTGCTGATACTGCCCGGCCTGCATGGTTCAGTGGTTGAGTGTCAACCTATGAACCAGGACATCATGGTTCGATTCCCAGTCAAGGGCACATGCCCAGGTTGTGGGCTCGATCCCCAGTGTGGGGTGTGCAGGAGGCAACCGATCAATGATTCTCTCTCATCATTGATGTTTCTATCTCCTCTTCCTCTCTGAAATCAAAAAAAAAAACTTTAAAAAAAAAAAAAAAGCTGCTGATACTTTACACAAATAAATGCTAAAAAAGCCTTACCTTTTCCCTTTTGGCCTGAAAATCTGTGGTGGTATCTATCCCTCTCCTATCAAGAGGCTGAAGAAATAAAATAGTATTAGAATAGATGGCAAACCTTGAAAAATACAACTTTCATCAACAATATATAAAAATATATTTTTTAAGATGTTAAAAAGTCAACTTACAGAATTCATTGGAGAAGAAACAACAGATGGAATTCTTTTTGCATCCTGTTAATTTTTAAACAATAACAAAATTAAGACTTTTCATTGAACTCAAATTTTGTTACACTTCTGTTTTTAATTGTGATTTTAAACATTTACCGCTAAAGGGCTTGACATCTTCTCTAAAGATTGCAATATTCGCCGAGCTGTTGAACTAGTCACACCATAGTATTCTGAATTGACTTGTTTAGCTTTCATCTGTCTTCTGAATGGTACCTATAAAGTAAAACATATTATTTGTTGGAACTGTAAACTCTAAACCTTTTTCAGAAAATGAGAACATTTACAAAATTGAATGGAGTCTAAAGCAAAACAGGATTAATGTAACAATTTATCTCTGAGTAATGTCGTTAATTATATATTCAAATTTTTTCTTTATGTCTTTATTGAAAATCCGTTATCTCTGCCTGAGAAATTACTTTTACAATGAAAAAAAAGAATGGTACTATAGCATGCATCACTCTAAAGTTCTCCCAGCTATGTTAAATGGGAAAAATGAGATAACTGGTAAAACATTCTAGCATTATCTTGATCTACTTATCCCTAATATTTTTTAAGATGTTTGTATTAATTTTAAAGAGAGAGGAAGGGAGAGGGATAGACAGAAACATCAATGAAACACATCCACTGGCTGCCTCCTGCACATTCCCCACTGGGAGACCGAGCCTGCAATCTAGGCATGTGCCCTGACCAGGAATCGAGCCAGAGACTTCATGGTTCATGGGTTGACATTCAACCACTGAGTAACACCAGCTGTGGCTGGGCTATCCCTAATATTTAAACCAAAGAACACTAAGTTAATGACAACTGTGTTAAAATATTAGTAATTCTGGGTATTAAATAATATTTAATTATAGTAAATTCCAAGATAATTAAACAAACTCTATTACAAATTTTAAACTGAATTGTTTCTCAAATTTTAATACAATAAAAAGTTTAAATACACAAGCTATTTCTTAATAAATGATTTAACTTTCTAAAAATTGAACTTAAGGAAATAAGCTTATAAGAAGATAAGTAACCTTTTTTTAATTTTATATGTTTTTATTGCTTTTTGGAGAGGAAGGGAGAGGGATATTAACATCAATGAGAGAGAAACATCATTGGTGACTGCCTCCTGCACCCCCCGCACCAGGGATTGAGCCCACATCCACAACCCGGACATGTGCCCTGACTGGGAATCGAACCACAACCTCCTGGTTCCTAAGACAACGCTCAACATCTGAGCCACACCGACTGGGCACAAGTAACCTTTAATACAAAAGCAATGTTTACAAATTCCAATAGAAACACTACCTTTTATGCAATACAACTTTCCAATAACCAAGTGACTACCACAAATCAAAGTAGTTTGGCAATGCTTAATATAGAAAAGATATTATTACTACAATCAAAATATAACCCAGTTTAGCCTTAGCCGGTCTGACTCAGAGGATAAAGCGTTGGCCTGTGGACTGAAGGGTCCCAGGTTCAATTCTGGTCAAGGGCACATACCTAGGTTGCAGGCTCCATCCCTGGCCCTGGTTGGGATGCATGCAGGAGGCAACCGATCAATGTCTCTCTCTCATCACTGATGTTTTTATCTGTCTCCTCTTGCTTCCTCTCTGAAATCAATAAAAATATATTTAAATATATATATATAACTGGGATATATATATATATGGCCCAGTTTCTACAAATAGCTCATATCTGAAAAACTAAATCATCATAACTACTTTAAATAACATTTCTCTCTCAGATACCAAACATTCATGGTATTTTCAGAGTAGCTACAATAGTCTACATTAGTTTTATTAACAACTTGGTGCCCATTAGGATTGCTGTTCAGCCCAGAGGCTTTGGTGAATGTGAGGCAGCATTAAAATCCTCTAGGAAATTATGAGAATCTGTCCTGTCACTGGATTCTCCTGGCCACTGGCCCCTTGGTGCCTTGATTCACGAAGCAATAAAATGGAAATGAATTAGAGAACCTTTAATATATCTTCTAACTCAACCCTCTAGGAAAGGAATAGCAAATAGATTCATCCCAAATGTCAAAATAAATATTTGGAAGCCTGTACTGAGAAGGATGGTATGTCAGAACTCAGCATTAAAAAGTATAGGATTCAATATAAGAAATAGAGGAGAAAGTAGCAGGAATACACTCTTACTTGGACTACTCCATGAATCATGGGCTTGCATCATCATCTATCTTCTACTAACATGCTAACCTATCTATTTTAAATGTAAAAATGTCTTTTAAAAATTAATATAATCCTTGCCTAGCCAGAATGGCTCAGTTGGTTGAGTGTCATCCTGTGCACCAAAAAGTTGCCAGTACGACTCCAGGTCAGGGCACAAACCTGGGTTGCAGGTTCAATCCCCTTTTGGGGCACATACAGAATGCAACCAATCAATGTTTCTTGCTCATATCAATGTTTCTCTCTCTCCCCTTTCCTCTCTTTAAGCATGTCCTCAGGTGATGATTAAAAAAATAAAAATCTACACTAATAAAAGAGAAACATGCATTAAGCAATAAAACAATTAAAAAAGAGAGAAACATGCAAATTGTGTCATTCCGCTATGCCCACCAGCCAATCAGAGTGACTATGCAAATTAACCCAACAAAGATGGCGGTTAATTTGCATACACAGGTGCAGAGTGAAGATTGAAGGCTCCAGCCGGAGTAAAGACTGAAGACGGAGGAGGCTTGGCTTCTCCACTGCAGCCAGACCAAAGGCCTGGGTCCCGGGTACCGGAGGAAAACCAGTACCGGCAGCCAGGGGAAGGAAGACCTATTGCGCGAATCTTCGCGCAACGGGCTTCTAGTAATAATATAATCCAGTTTAAGCTTGAGAAAATTCCTTGTGTAACTCCAAGATCCAGTTAGCACTTTCTTAAAAAACAAAATATTGCCGTTCATGTACACACTCAAAAATGACTCGTAACTTTGCTATTTATGAAAACATTCTCTAATTAGGAAAACAAGAAACTATTCTAAAGACAGTATCTTCAAATATACTTGTTTTTGTGCAATTGTGTCTATCACAGATTGCCTACATGCTTAAAAGTTTTACGCCTCCATTTTTAAAATGTCCAAATCTATAATATAAGTAGAATAACAACATATACATGAAACAGAATTTTTAAGAGCCTCAAGAAACTCCTAGGACAAAACACAGAATGGTGCAATTTACCTTAAAATAACATATTTTTAAAAGTTATCAATTTCCAAATGTTCTCTGCTAATGGGTATATGTAAATACAACTGATTTTGATTTTTTTAGATTGACCCTGTATACTATAACTTTGCTAAGCCCACTTTTAAGTCTGATAACATCTTACTGTAGTTTCTTGGGATTTTTCTATGTAGATAATAAGCACATTGTCTAGGAATACAAATAACTTTATTATTTCATTTTCAATATGTATGCCTTGTATTTCTTTTTTCTTGTGTTATCTAGGAACTGCAGCACATTTAACAGTACCAATGACAGCAGACATCCTTGTTTTCTTTCTAATCTTAGGAGGAAAATATTCTGTTTTTTACAATTAGTATGATGGTAGCTGAAGATTTTCTGTAAACACCATTTTTCAGGTTGAGAAGGTTCCCATCTATTCCTAGGTATCCTGAAAAATGTTATCATGAATGTATGTTGGATTTTGTCAAAAGCGTTTTATGCATCTGGAAATATTCATACCATTTTTATTCTTTATTTACATGGTAGATAACAATTTTCAAATGTTGAACCAACCTTGCATCATGATGAAATAGTCTTTATATATTTGGGTTTAATTTTGCAAATATTTGTTGAGAAGGTGTGTGTGTGTCTGTAATTCATGAGAAATACTGGTCTGTAGCTTTCTTATAATGTCTTCAGCTTTAGTTATCAGGGTAATGTTGGCTTCATAAATGTATTGAGAAATGTATGGAAATGTTTGTGGGTTTGGTAGAATTTACCAGGGATTTTATCTTGGCCTGAAGTTTTTCTTTGCTGGAAGGTATTTTAACTATGAATTCAATTTATTGAATAGACTATTTAGGCAAGTTATTCTTGACTAACACCAAATAACATGAATTATTTTCATACTAGAGGCCCAGTGCACAAAAATTTGTGCACTCAGGGGGGGTCCCTCAGCCCGGCCTATGCCCTCTTGCAGTCTGGGACCCCCTCGGAGGATGTCCACCTGCTGGCTTAGGCCCGCTCCCTGGGGGATCGGGCCCAAGTTGGCAGTCAGACATCCCTCTGGCAGCCCGGCACCCTCGGGGGATGACCACTTGCCAGCGGGGAGCAGGCCTAAGCTGCAGTCGGACATCCTTAGCGCTGCTGAGGAGGCGGGAGAGGCTCCCACCACCACTGCTGTACTGGTGCTGTACTGGCCGTCACCCTGGCTTGTGGCTGAGCAGAGCTCCCCCTGTGGGAGTGCACTGCCACCAAGGGACAGCTCCCCCCCTGGTGGTCAGTGGGTGTCATAATGCCCAGTCATTCCCAGTCATTCTGCTGTTAGGGTGAGTATGCATATTCCCCTTTTATTATATAGGATAGAGGCCTGGTGCACGGGTGGGGGCTGGCTGGTTTGCCCTGAAGGGTGTCCCGGATCAGGGTGGGGGTCCCGCTGGGGTGCCTGGCCAGCCTGGGTGAGGGGCTGATGGCTGTTTTCAGGCTGGCCACACCCCCTTTAGGGTGGGGGGTCCACTGGGGTGCCTGGCCAGTCTGGGTGAGGGGCTGAGGGCCGTTTTCAGGTTGGCCCAGCCCCCCAGCGACAGAAGCTCCCAGCCTCTCCTTTTTTTTCTTTTATTTTTTATTCTGGGGTTTATTTACCTTTTATAATTGAAACTTTGTAGCCTTGAGAGGAGCTTAGAGCCGGCCAGGGCGGGCAGGAGGGAAGCCTTCTGCTCGCTCCAGCTCCGTGGCCACGGCCCACTGAAAGCAGGTATCTGGGGTTTATTTACCTTCTATAATTGAAACTTTGTTGCTTTGAGTGGAGCTCAGAGCCGCCGCAGCAGGCGGGGAAGCTTGGCTTCCTCCATCATTGGGGCAACCAAGCCTCTTGCTCGCCCCAGCTCCGTGGCTGCTGGCCGCCATCTTGGTTGGGTTAATTTGCATATAGTCACTCTGATTGGCTGGTGGGCGTGGCTTAAGGTGTAGCAAAGGTATGGTCAATTTGCATGTTTGTCTTTTATTAGTGTAGATAAATTTAGTAAAATATGTACAAGATTGGTGTGATGAATACTACAAAATACTGATGAAAGGAAATGTAAAAGACCTAAACAGCCCTGGCTGGAGTTTCTCAGTGGTTAGAGCATTGGCCCTTTGCACCAAAGGGTCATGGGTTCGATTCCCGGTCAAGGGCACGTGCCTGGGTTGCGGATTCAATCCCTGGCCCTAGTCGGTTGGGAGCATGTACAGAAGACAGCTGATCAATGTGTCTTTCTCACATCGATGTTTCTTTCTCCCTCCAATCCTCCCTCCCTCCCACTCTCTCTAAAAGTCAATGGAAAAAATATCCTTGGGTGAGGATTAACAAAACAAAAAAAGACCTAAGTAAATAAAGAGACATATTGTGCTCATGGACTGGAAGACTCAATTTTGTTAAGATGTATATTTTCCGGATCTGGGGTTACACTGATCTTTAGACTCAATGTAACCCCACACAAAATCCCTGTAGACTGTAAAAACTGACATGGGGATTATAAAATTATAAAAAACCAAAGGAATTAGGAAAGCCAAAACAAGCTTGGAAAAAAAAAAAAAAAAAGCTGGAGGACTCATATCATCTGATTTCAAGACTTACTATCTATACTAATAAAAGAATAATATGCTAATTAGACCAGGAAACCATCCGGATGTCCTTCCAAACAAAGCTTTGGTGGCAGGGCCGACGCAGAGGCGGTTAGAGGCAATCAGGCCAGGAGGGGAGGGCAGTTGGGGGTGATCAGGCCGGCAGGGGGGCCAGGTGGGGGCAATCAGGCTGGCAGAGGGGCA